TATAGAGTAACTACTGATGATTATATAAATAGCTTATTTTTAAATCTAAGAAACTTTATATTTTTCTTCTAAAAAAAGAAAATAGCTTATTATTAAAGATAGATTATTTGACAACATATAATATATATATATAATTCATCGAACTTGAATATGTTTATAAACTTGAACTGAACTTAAACTGAACCAAAACTTTGAGTTCAGATTCAGTTTAAGTTTATAAATTTAAAGTTCAGTTTAGGTTCAGGTTCAAAGGTCTGCAAAATTTAAAGTTCAGTTTAGATTCAATTGAACTTGAACCTAAATTAAACTGAACTGAACTTCGGAATACTAAAGACAACCAACCATGAGGTCACTTTGATATTAAAAAAAAACAAACAAATATATACAAGTACAAAGTATGAAAAAATTCTGTGCTAGGAGTTGTCGATCATTGAATATAGTCAAAACTTTTAAAGCCAAAATGTTAAAGTTAGTGTTTAGAATAAAGTTAAAAATTAAAAAATTATATAGTAAAATTGCTTAAAGAAAACTTTTTATTAGAGCACTAAAGGTAGTTTTTTATACAAATTTTGAGAAATAAATAATTTTTGACAAATGAATATTTGGTTTAAAATTTCTTAATTGTGTTATATTATACTTGATTTATGAAATCTAATTTGTAGTTTAGAGATCTGTGCTATAATGATTAGCAAAACCTGGTACAGAATTTTTTTATACAAATACAGATATATTAATAATTGTCACAGATGATGCTGAAATCGGATGATACTGAAATTCACATGACCTGTGACCATACATTATATCTGATAATTTCTGAATATCATATACACAATTATCTGTAAAAAAAACAATAAATCGCTATTTTACCTATATTGTATAACATGATTATCTGGAAAAAAAAATAATCAATCGCTATTCCACCTACTCAAGAAAAGTGATACCACCTACCCACCCAAGAATAGCCCCACTACTCCTAGAAACACTCAGCACCAATCCAAGAAATACTTACTACCTACCCAAGAAAATACTCACCACCTACCCAAGAAGCAATAGACACCTACCAACGTACTGCAAAAAAAAAAAAAAACCTACAAGTTTTGTCAAGGTTTTTTTTTTTTTTTTTTTAACATGCTGGCAATTCTCAAAATTCCTAAGACAGTAGAGGAGTATAGGATGATAGTCGAATATATTCAATCAGGAATTGTCCCAGATAGTGTTCAAAAGAACCTACTCACAAGCACGGCAAGAGCCAACTTCATTCACTGCTGCAAAAATTTTGAAGCTGATAAAAATGGAATTCTTTACATTAAGCTGGTTGTAAAGAATGGTGTAATAAAATTAGGAAAATGCTATATAGTCTCTAAATACGATATAGAGATACATGCTATAATTTTGGAATGCTTTTATGATCAGGAAAATCACTGCGAATACTATAAAACCTTTTCTACAATATTCAAAAAACATATTGGAATCACACAGGAAGAGATAAAAGCATACATAAATGAATGTCCTGCCTGTGCTATAAATACTTCTATCAAAGAAAAAACAGATATAATATCTGTAGTATCGCTGGGTCCTTGGCAGCACGTTCAAATCAACTTAGTCGATTTTTGTGATTTTTCTAGAGAAAATTATGATTTTTCGTGGCTGCTTACCTGTGTTTGTGTATACTCTAAATTTTCCATCACTATCCCAATCAAAAATAAGAAAGCAGAAACAGTTGCGGCACATCTCCTTAAGGATATTTTCAAGATTCTTGGGCTTCCTGTGGTCCTTCAAAGCGATAATAGTAAAGAGTTTGTT